GTCTTCCTGTGTGAAGCGCCAGACCCCTTCACACCATGGAATGATGATGATGATGTATGTTCGGGGCTGCATTGCAATATTGATTGTTCGGATCACTGGTATCTAAGTCTTCCGCTACGCTATCTTGTACTTTGTATTGAGAGGTCGGTTCTTGTTCTAGTCTGCACCATTACAGTATGCAACATGTACAGAGTGTGTGTGTCTGTGTAGAGCGGACATTCAGGGTGATCCTCGTACGTGCGTGCATGAGGGAGAGTGAGGCTGGTGGTTGAGACAGTGTTCAGCGGCCATGGCTGCAAGTTGTACAGTTGACTTGAACAGAGTTTAAGTGCAAGTTTGTTGTTAATTCTGAGTTGACGAGTTTGGTTTACCATCCTTTCTCGTGTGTGCATGTTGGAAGCAAGTCTGAAGTTGAGTCTGATTGCACTTCTGTCCCTAGCTTCACGAATACCGTTGACCTGATAAGGTCAAAGAGAGACTCGCATGGAAAGAACCTTACCTTACCTCGCACATCAAACACTCACCACTGTTTAACTAGTTTTCGAACTGTCTTACTTAGCCTCATAAACAGTATGCCGCAATGAGACGACTACTCTCTGCATTCATGCTCTCATAGCAGGAGCTGAAGTAAGGCTTCTCTTGCGATTCTCATTCGATTCCCTTCCTTCGCTCTGGTTTACTTGGCATATCCATGATGTCATATGCACATTCTACCACTCTCATCTCCACTCAGATGGACAGCAGACAGCTGTTGTCGCAGGTAACACAACAGCATCAGCACGGTTAACAACAGCAGGGAAACACGCACAACATGCATCACAGCAGGTGGCTGATATTCTTGGCATTCCGCCACTCCTACAAGATACAATGTGCGCCAGCCCAAATACAGACTACCAGTCGCTCGCCTTCATCCCTCCATCCTCTGCAAAAGGCATTCAGCCCTATCTTGCCCTCGCTGGCACCTGAGTGCCTGACCGACTCGGATACCCACCCAACTCGATGGCCCCATGGACACGTTCTTCTCAAACCCTCCCCGGGCACATTCTTCGAATAAACGGCCTCATCTACAAGAGCTATGGAGTCTAGCCCTCACAACCAGGAACCATGGGTCGCGCACAATACGCGGCCTCACAGCAGAGGTTTACTGCCACGAAACAGTAAACGAATGTTCTGATCCAACTGCCATGATAACGGTGGTAAACGGAGACTACGTCAAGGTACACTATAGCACGAGTTGTGAATAGAGGGGAGCAGAAAGCACACAAGCGGATGTTATCTCCAAAGAAAGGCGAAGACCAAATAGAAAACAAACACAGACACAAACACAAAGAGAGAGAGAGAGAGAGAGAGAGAGAGAGAGAGAGAGAGAGAGAGAGAGAGAGAGAGAGAGAGAGAGAGTCTAATGAACATTCTCGGTGAGACAGTGAAGGAAGCGAACATAATGCCTCGGAGGGCAACACCATTCTCGGTGAGACAGTGAAGGAAACGAACATACTGCCTCGGAGGGCAACGCCAGTAGTGTGGCCCCAAGCTTCGCACGTGATTATTGTTCACAACGGTTGCTCAACTATTCCATCATTCATCCCAGTCACCGCTTGCCTCCGTCTCGCTTTGCCCCAAGACCTAGATTCTTTGGTCGCATGACTGCTAGAACGGGCTCCGCCATTCCTGTCCCCTCCCTTCCCAACCCCCCTCCTGCTCCACTAAAGCCCATCTTAGCAAGCATTCGAGAGCCAAACCCCGTAGTATGAGCTTCAAATCTGCCAAACTCTTCCAGGCAATTCGACCTTGCTACCTTTCGTTCCACGACTCCTACTTCTCTCTCTCTTCGTCTAGTCCCCTCATGACTCAGCGGCCTGAATCCATCGCCATCTTCGTCCACCTCAACACCATGTCTCTCATTCTCCACCGCCTCCTCAGACACAAGTACCCGTGCTTCTGGCTGGATAACGCCCCCTGACACGAAGTCAATCACACCACTCCTGGACATCTCCGACTTCTTATCCTTCTTCTTGTTCTTGTTCTTGTTCTTGTTCTTCGCCACCTTCTTTTGGTTTGCCGTCACCTCGCCGGTCCTTTCGCTCATCAACCTCGCCTCCACTGCCCTCCTCCAGGCACGACTTCCTTCTGAGAGGGGAGTACTTCCGCTCGGCACTCTTTGTTTCACATCCTTCTTTCTTTCCTTCTTCTTGGCCGTGTGAGCAACATGCCCCTCACTTGCTGCTGCCCTCTGCTCGGCGACAATCAGCCACTGTTCCTCCGTGATCGTCATCTTCAATTTTTCGGCCAACTGGGCAAGCTCGCTGTCACGTGGCGTCCTGCTAAGCCCTGTTCTCTGCACCACTAGTTCCTTCACCTCTTCGCATCCCTTCACAGACGCTCGCAGCCCATAAAACATCGCAAGTCGAAACATCTGCTCCACCTTCTTGCCCCCTCTAGTTATCACCGAGACAGACTTGATTCCCAGTAACACCATGGCGAAAAGTGCCTCGTTCATTTGGTCCAAACTCCACATCTCCAGAGGGCGCGAGCAGAGTTTTCGTAATCTCCGGTTTTGACGCATATTCCTCCGGCGCCTTTTTCGTTTCGCAGCAGGAGATGACAGCTCCTCCTTCTTCTCTCTTCCCCCCCCTTCCTCACCAATGCCACCACCTTGTTGTCCTTTCTTTCCCTTACGAGTCTTTCGCGCCTTCTTTTTCTCACACTTTTTCTTTTGGCTCCTTCTACCCGGAAGATCAGCAGCAACAGATATGAAGTCCAGCGTATCTTCGTCAACTTCCTCATCGACATCCTCATCTTCACTCAGCACCATTTTGCCAGCAAACCGAAGCTCGAGGCCCTCCTCTCGACCGTCTCTCCTCCCTCCATGATCTGTCCACGCAGTCCCCCGCGAGGTCGAGTCATCACACAACGTCGGCTTTCGTCCCTTGACAGCCACTTTAGCAGCTCCCCTGACTTCTCTCCTTCCTCTCCCATGGCATATCACTGCTACCTTCTCGTCGGGATCGCTGTCACTGCCGCTGCTCGTACTGCTGCGATCTATTCCCTTGTCAATCCTTGTCATCCTCGTCTGCACCCAATGATTCCCTTCATCAAACTCGTCCTCCATGTTCATCACATAGTCTTCTAGTTCCTTCTCATCATCATCATCATCATCATCATCATCATCGTCGTCGTCGTCGTCATCGTCACTTTCGCTGCTGAAGCTGACACCATCCCCGCAAGACATTAAAGCACCTGCACCTCTCTCCTCTTCTACATCGTCGTCGTCACACTTCTCTCCAGAGAACGCCACCATCTCTCCCTCCTCTTCGTCCTCCTCCTCCTCATCGTCCTCATCATCGCCATCACTATCTAGCTGGATGAAGTCCATGCAAACTCCGCTGGTAACCCCCGTGAGGCGCGCCCCCTTAATGTTCTCTTTTCCTTTCCTCATCCTGGTGTTATTCCTACTCGAGTATTCCTTCTTGTTTACACACGACGGGCTGACAGTATAGATACGTCGGCCTCCTACAACGAGAAAACCATCGCTCAGATCATCAAGCTTCTTCTTGCCCCTTCGCCTTCCATCGTGACAACCATTACCATCATCGCCATCATCGTCCCCTGTTAGCATTGCCCAGTCCTCCTCATCCAAACCCCCGGATCGAGGGTGTAGGTTCGACTCCCTCTGTGATCGCCCATCCATACTTCCCTCCTTTCTCCAACTGCCGCAAGTACTTCTCCCGCCGCTCTCCCCTTTGCAGACACGGCCGGTGTCGTCCCGCTCGTGTCTCTGCCCCCTTTCCACTTTGGCATAATTTCGCGCTCGCCTTCGCTTGCTGCCCTCACAACCCTTACTGGTACCGGTCGAAGGCGGCGGCTGTTTTCCCGCCGAGGGAGCTTCATCTCCGTCTGCAGCATCCTTACCTGCAGCAGGAGGAGGAACCTTACCAGTCGACGAGTGCTGTCCCCCATTCTGCCCATATCCCTCTTTCTCCTTCCCTATCATCACTCCCCCCTCCCGTACAAATGTGGTCCTTGTCTCCCCTGTAACGACACAGTATCCCAAGCCCGGCCTTTCATCCTCCAGATCCTCCAAGTCATCGAGCTGCACTCCTCCAGTGCCTAACGAATGGAACCTCCTGCACAAAACACCAGGCTTCGCATCCACAGTTGGGCAATTGCGTCCCTCGTTTTCACTACAAGCACCATCGACCGCACTACCGACAGCTACTACATCCCCTGCCAACACCCAAGCATCTGAACGGTGATTCACAACCTCTCTCTCTCCTCCCTCTCTCCCTTCCACCTCTTCCCGTTCCCCAATACCCGCAGACTGTTGCATCGATGTTCTCCTCTCTCTCCCTTGCGCCGCTTCTTCGCCACATTCCTCCGATCTTCTCAACCGCTGGGCCTGCGAATCCGGCGGCATCCCATCATAAGCAAGACAAGAGTAGAACGGCCCGCTTCCACTTATCCTTAGCGAATCCCCCTCACCTCGGTCCTCCACTACCGTCAGACAACCCTCATTTCCTCCTCCAATGATCACCTCCATCCCCCACTCCAACCTCTCCATCGCTTCGGACTTCAACTTACCACCTTCTGTCGCTGATATCCCCGTGCCCACTGATTGGCTTGTCCTCATTGACTCCTCGTGGCCGGTGGCCATCGGTTCGCACGGCCTCTTCGCTTCCCTTTCTCTCTCTCTCTCTACCGCAGCCTCAGCCATCTTCTCCTCTCTTTCTTCTGCCACGACATACGAATCACGGTCACACACTGCCGAACTCTCCGCTCCGGTCCCGACTCTACCATTGCTAATTTCTGCCTGCCGCGCTTCAGCACACCACGTCATCTTATCATTCACAGCTCCACTCCCGCAGTCGCAATCTCGGTCCTCCACCGCATCTACAAGAGCATGAGAATCAGTCCCGATCCCCAGTTGCTGCTGCTGCCGCTCACCCTTCCATTGGGCCAGCGACCCTCCCGCAACAAACCCACCAGCACCACCCCTTCTACTCAGACTCCCCTCAATAGCAGGCCGTCCTCCATCACGCCGTCCTGCACCCATCATGAGACCTAGAATCCCTGGTCCCGAGGCATTCCCGCGCCTTCCCCCTCTTCCTCCCCTCCCTCGCGCCCCACGGGCGCTTCTGCCCTGCGCATCTCCCGCCGTACGACCACCCGAAGGAGCAACCCCTTCATCGGTTCTCATCTCGCCTTACCTTTCCTCGTTTACCCAATATATTGCCTGCGTTATCCTCTTCCGACTGCAGCCCTGACAAAGAATTGGCGACAAATCCTCACTGAGGACACCGTCGATCAAGACTACCCGCCCAGGACAGCACACCTCCCCTTATCTTCCCAACTCTCACATAAAATCGTTTCAATCAAGTTCGACTTACCACTGATGTCGTTCAAGAGCCACAGCAGCACCACAGCTGCAGTAGCGCCCCCCAGCTCTTTCTATATACATCAATACCAGTGGGTGGACGTGCGCTTCCACACCGCTGATACGGCTGAAATGAACCAGAAATACTGTAAGTGTTTTCCTGGAGTGGAAGGGGGAGAGGGCGGGGCTGAAAGAAAGGGGATTGCAATGATGGGTATGGACACTAATCAGATTTTACGACCTCCTGTTGCCTTCAGATAAAGAGACGACACGCCAACGATATCATCTCGGTAAACTGGCTCCTCCCCCTACACGCAGGCAAAGGGGCAACAATCATGACCGTCATGATGCTTGGTGGCAGCAACAATGGTGCGAAGGAGAACAACAGGAGAATGACAGAGGATAAGGGCAAAAAGTTCCACTAGCAAAAGAAAAATCGGGAGGAAGTTGAGGGGCATGTCTTTCTCCTATGCCAACTTTATGTAGCACCGTCATCATCAATAGCCCAACGATACCCATCAACGGATTCAATTGCAAAAGAGAGCTATGAAAAATCAACTAGATGACCTGTTGCGGCTCGGCGCGCAAAAAAGAAAAAACATTTTACACATGAAAGAAGAGAGCTCAACAGGAAGTTGAACCACGGCAGTCTGTACAGGATGCATTTGACTGATGGATAAGGACTCGCCACGTCACCCGGAGCTAGCGATATCTCTGAGAACAGTGGTTGACGTTACTCGACCCACCCTCGATGTGTGTGTGCAATCTAGGAGGTTCATTGGGTCGAGACGGTGTGATTGAAAGTCGCTGGGGGGTGGGTGTAGGAAGTTGCCTTCAATTATAAGAGTGCCCTTGGTGTTAAGCAGGTCCTGACACGTATGAATGGAGTATTCATCATTCAATCTGCTTGGCATTTGCTGTTCGCTACAAAACGTTCGAGCAGCCGTATTGCTGGGCGTGCATCTTGGGGCATGTCCTGGAAGATGTCAGGCAAAGACGACACCACACGGCGCGTGTCAGAGTCAGCCCGTAGTAGACAGCGTGGCAATCTCTCTCTCTCTCTCTCTCTCTCTCTCTCTCTCTCTCTCTCTCTCTCTCTCTCTCTCTCTCTCTCTCTCTCTCTCTC